AGGCTCTTTCTCACCGCCTTCTCTTATGCATCTTGGGTATCAGAACCAGAGGACATGACAAGTGTGGGAGGCTTCATCTGCTGTGTTGGTGGAGGGCCAACAGCTTGGGAGAGCAAGAAACAAGTGGACCAAGCATTGAGCTCGGTGGAGTCCGAGTACATGGCACTCTTCCGTGCCATAAGAGAGGTTGTGTGGCAGCGGCGTTTGCTAGCTGAATTGGGGGAGGAGCAGCAAGGACCTACCCCACTCTATTGTGATAGCCAGGGTGCTATTGCATTGGCTAAGAACCCGGTTCTTCATGGCCTTACCAAGCACATGAAGGTGAAGTGGCATTGGGTGAGGAGCATGGTAACCTCGGGTGAAGTGGAGTTGCACTATGTGAAGACGATGGCGCAGCCTGCTGATATGATGACCAAGAGGCTGGTTGAGCAGCAGCATTGGAAGTGTTGCAAGCTTGCTGGGATGGCTCTGAACTAAGGGGAGCAGATTCTAAGGCCAACAATCCGAGGGGGAGTTTGTTGGTGCAACCCTATGGCTTGCACTCGGCTTGTCGTCCTTGTTTGTGTGTGTGCATGCATGGCATGGAATGAATTGTGAGTCTATGTCATTGCTATCCAGTGCTTGTGTGTGTGTTTGAATGGTGTATCACAATGTGGTTTGTGTCGGTCAAGACATTAGCGGGTTTTTACAACTCGCATGTCAAGTCGTCGTTTGTGTGTCGCATGTGTTTTTTCTATTTTGTCGAGTGTGAAGTGTCCATCGTGTCGCAGGTGTGTGCAGCAAGCCCCCATCAACTCAAGAAGAATTTATCTTGCAGATCCAAGAACAAGAGCTCAAGATTTCAAGCCCATGGGACGTGGATAAATATTAAATAGTGAAAATAGTAACGTTACTTCGTGTAGTGTTACATTTCACTTGGTGTAGCCCCTTGGAGGGTTGGTTTCGAGACTCTTCATGGTTGGGGACTCTTTGGTGGTGTACCACCAACCTGGACCTCGGCTCTTGGGGTATGTAGAGGCTGGGAACCATCTCCCTCTCGAACTCTTCTTGCTAAGTTTTGTGCTTCCAAGACTATAGTGGCTGCTATACCTCCTGCTAGTCAAACCGCCATAGCGTCGTCAAATCTTCATCGAATTTCATGATTCAACTTTCTGCTAATAGAGGACAGCAACGCGCTCCAGATTCAACTTACAGATCACAGTTTGATTTAGCTACCAGATCGTTATCAATATTTGAAGCCGTCTGACGGAAATCCGACTGTGCTCTCTATCTCTCATTATAGGCACATCTAAGCCTATTGTGTTTATAACATGGCCCATGGGCGGGGTAAGGGCCCCAGACGTCCATGTGCAGGGTCTGTAAAGGTGCAGTGGTGGGATGGGAACGAGGAGGAGTGAGGGGCACGGCAGAGCCGGCCCTCGACGCAGGGGGTGCACAGAGGCGCTGCTGAGGAGGAGAGCGCAGGGAGCGACGCAGGGAGACCTAAGGCAAGACTGTGCTGAGACATGTGACGGAGATGTGTGAGGGCGGGGTGACCTAGGCGGTGGTGCCACAAAAGCGACGGGTGAGTAAGCTACCGACACGAGCAAGCCGCAGCAACCTGGGTAGACGCTGCCATCTGGGGGGGCGTCTCAACCGGGGGGGACGTGATGTCCAGCATGAACAGGCCAGACACCAGGTCCCGAGGGAACGTGGTGAGGGGGGCACCAGTGGCGACCTCAGTACAGACAGTGTACCTCTCGTGACCAGGGAACGGAGTGGTGACGCCGAGGTCCTAAAGACAGCTGACACCAACTAGATTCCTAGAGAACGAGAGGATGTGCAGGCCTGTAAGAGAGCCCGAAGGAACCGCCAGACAGGGGAGAGTGGTGGAACTATGGGCGACTACCGGACCTGAGGAAGTGTCTGCAAGGGTAACTATGGCAGGGACGGCAAGCGGCAAAAGCGTAGTGTGGTCCCGAAAGAAACAACGAGATGCGCCAGAGTCAAGAGTGAAGGAGAGCGCGGCAGTGGCAGCTGGGGGTGGAGGAGTTAGGGTGGAGCCTAGGCTAAACAAAGCAAAGGGTTCTACGCCTGACGCAGCAGGGGAGCCTAAACTAGGCACACCAGACACACCTACACTAGGCAACACGGGGTAATAGGAACCAGTCACACTAGAGTCATCAACATATAGCACATACAATGCAGAGCTCATCTCATCCATGTCCATATCAAAGATCCCAACACCACGGCGGAGCAGACTGTGCCAGTTGGGGAGGTCCAGCGCGGGGCCGAAGCGGAGACGAACCAGGTCGTCCAGGCGACTGAAACAGCGAGTGGGGGTATGACCGGTCTTACCACACACGAGGCCGTGTTGAGGACCGGTCAGGAGCTGGTACTGGCAGCGTCCGTCATCCGCACCACCACCCGACGACGAGCTACGCGCACGACCACCGCGACCACCACCTCCACCACCAGCGCCAGGCCACCCAGGCGGGAGGCGGCCGACCCTCCGCTGCGACTGCTGCTGCTGCTGCTGCTGCTGGTCGAGCTGTGGCGCATGCTGCTGCTCCCGCTTGGGCTGTTGCTACGAGGCACCAGCCCCAGCCCCCTCATCGGTACTACTGCCAGCGGATGAACCACCCCATAATGGGACTGTGCTGCTGCCACCGCGGCAGCGGTTTCAGCAGCAGGGGCTGTCTGAGCGACAGCCGCAGGACCATCAAAGTAAGTGCACTGAGCGGGGGCACAACCCTGAAACATAGGGACCAGCGCAGTACCGCTTGATTGGGCGATAGAACGCTGATGCGTCTCTATGGCAGACAGGGTGTCGACAAAGTCAGAGAGGGTGAGGTCAGTGGGGACTAGACTAAGAAAGTGGTCGTGGGTAGTGTCAAGGCGGTCAGGGAGGCAAGTGGCAAGCAGGTAAAGGGTAGAGCAGATAGGGGGAGGGAACACACGAAGCTGGGCCTCAGTGTAGGCATTGCGCCAGCTAGCATCGAGCGTGCGCAGGTGCGTGGCCATGTCAGCGACAGTGGGGAAAGACGCGCAATCAGGGAAGAGAATGGGAAGGATCAGGCGGCCGGCAGAGGCAGAGGACGGGGTGGAATAACGCTCGACAACAGCCTCTAGGAACTCCTGCACAACCTGACCGACCTAAATCGGGGGCGCTCAGACAGGGGGAGGGTATGGCTAATAGCGAGCTGAGCGACAGCGTCACGCGACAGCTAGACAGCATGTGCAAGGGCAGCAGTGGAAGCGGACTCACGGTCAGCAAACGTGGGGTCAGCGGGGAGAGCAACAGGGGGGTCAGGGCAGGGGAGCGTACCGCCAATGTGGACGGCCAGGGAGTGGCTGCCCTGCCGCTGACCAGTGAGGTGACGGCGGAGGTCGACGAGCCATGAGTCGAACTCAACCGGCTAACCCTCCGCGTCAAAGCGCAGCACCGAGTCCGCCATGAAGGCCGCTGCAGCCTTGAACAGGCGGTGAAGGAGCGACGAGGAGCAGTGGGGAGGAGTGCTGTATGGTGCAGCAGTGGTGTGCGGTGGGGCACCATGTAGTGCGATGCCACATGATGCAGAGCGGTGCAGTGCGGTGGGGCGTGGTGCAGTGCGGTGCAGTGAGGTGGGGCGCAGTGCAGTGAGGTGGGGCGCAGTGCACTGAGGTGGGGCGCAGTGCACTGAGGTGGGGCGCGGTGCAGTGCAGTGGGGCGCGGTGAAGGATGGTGGAGAGGGCTGGTGAAGCGGGAGGGGACCGGGAAACACGGCGGCAGAGCCGCTGGGAGACGGGGCCGCGGGGCGGCCGTGCGACGGGGCCACGAGGCGGCTGGGCGACGGGGCCGCGGAGCAGCGGGGCGATGAGTCGCGGGGCGGCTGGGCGACAGGGCCGCGGAGCCGCTGGGCGACAAGGCTGCAGGGCAGCTGGGCGACGGGGCCGCGGGGCGGCTGGGCGACGGGGATGCGGAGCAGCGGGGTGACAGATCGCGGGGCAGCTGGGCGACGGGGCCGCGGAGCAGTGGGGTGACGGGGCCGCGGGGCGACTGGACGACGAGGCCGCGGGGTGGCTGGGCTACGGGGCCACGGGGCGGCAAGGCGACAAGGGGAATAGGTGACGGGGCGGCTAGGCAATGGGGCGGCTAGGCGACGGGGCGGCAAGGCGATGGGGTGGCTAGGGGACGTGGCGGCAGGGCGGCTACGCTAGGGGCGACGCGGCCGCGGGGCCAGCAGGGCGGCTAGGCGCTAGGAGATGGGGCGACATGGCCACGGGCGGCTGGGCGCTAGGTGATGGGGGCGCGGGGCCAGCGGGGCGGCTAGGCGCTGGGTGATGGGGCGACGGGGCCACGGGCGGCTAGGAGCTAGGTGACGGGGCCGCGGGGGCTAGGCGCTACGTGACGGGGCCGCGGGGCTACGGGCGGCTAGGCGCTAGGGAACGGGGCTGTGGGGCCAGCAAGGCAACGGTGCAGCGGGGCCCGTGGGGCGGCTAGGCGCTAGGCGACGGGGCAGGCTAGGACATAAGGCGGAAGCGTGGGTGGGAGGGGGGGACCTAACCTACTCAGAATACCTATGTAGTCTACTAAACATACACAAATAAGTTTGACACTCTCTTCCTTCATTACGCTTCCCAACCCCCTCTCTCCCATCGCGTTACGCTTCCCTTCCCTCCCAGAAGGGATGGGGAGAGAGATAGCATAGGGAGGGGAAGGGATGGGAGAGAGATGGTAGGGAGAGGGGCAGCATGGGAATAGACATGGCAGGGAGAGAGGGGGGAAGGGATGGGGAGGGAGATGCAGAAGCGGGGGGGACAGATGTGGAGGGAGGTCACAGAGAGGGGGAAAGGGATGGGGAGGGACTCCGATGAGGGAGGGGGAGGGGGGTGGGGATGGAGATGGCAGAGATGACATAGACCCCTCCTGTCTCTCTTTCACCCATCCCTCCCTCCGCTGCTGTCCGTGCTTCCCCCTTTTCACCCCTGCCATCTGTGCTTCCCCCCTTTCACCCCTGCTGTCTGTGCTTCCCCCCTTTCACCCATGCCGTCTGTTATTCCCCCCTTTCACCCCTGCCCCTCTAACTGCCCATCTCCTTGTCTCCCTTTCTTCCCTGCTGTTCCTCTCTCCCTCCCCCCCCTACCTCTCTCTCTCTCTACCTCTCTCTCTCTCTCTCTCTCTCTCTCTCTCTCTCTCTCTCTCTCTCTCTCTCTCTCTCTCTCTCTCTCGTTTATTGCAATCGCCGAAATTCGCATTACATGCGTTTTTAGGCGTTTCACTTTCTCCTGCTGCCCATAAATTGGGTTTCAGCTCAATTCATCTCTTTCGAAACTTTACAGGAGTGACCTACTTCAAGGGGGGTGTTATGGGTGGAAACCCAGAGTAGCGCGGAAGAGAATATCGAAGTTTAGAATTACAGATTCACAGATTGTCATAACAATTAATGACGAGGCTAGATATAGGAACACTTGAGCGAATCTTAACCCTGTGATGCACACGTTCGCAGAAGGCATCAGAGGGTGCGGAGCGCTTCGGAATGATGCAGATGTCAAAACATACATATATATATGTCTTATAGGCTAGATAGGTGCGTACTCTTAGAGAGTACAGCCCCTTGGCACAAAAGCACCTTGTATCTCTCATTCTATTATCTTTTCTCATGTTATCATGGTATCACGCTAGGTTAGGTCTACCCACCAACCCGCGCTTCCACCTTAGGCCTAGTTCTAGCCGCCCCTATGCGCCTCGCTGGCCCCGGCCGCCTCGCTGGCCCCTTAGCGCCACGCTGGCCCCTTAGCGCCCCGCTAGCCCCGTGAGCCCCGCCGGCCCCGTAGGCCCCACTGGCCCCGTCGCGCCCCGCTAGCCCCGTGCGCCTCGCCGGCCCCGTAGGCCCCGCTAGCCCCGATCGCCCCCCTGGCCTCGTTAGCGGCCTCCTGGCCCCGTGCTCCCTGCTGGCCCCGTCGCGCCCCGCTAGCCCCGTGCGCCCCGCCGGCCCCGTAGGCCCCGCTAGCCCCGTTAGCGGCCTCTTGGCCCCGTGCGCACCGCTGGCCCCGTCGCGGCCCGCTAGCCCCGTGCGCCCAACCGGCCCCGTAGGCCCCGTCGGCACCGTTCGCCCCGCTGGCCCCGTTAGCGCATCGCTGGCCCCGTGAGCACCCCATTGGCCCTGTCGCGCCCTGCTAGCCCATTAGCGCCCCGCTGGCCCCGTGCGCCCCACTGGCGCCATGAGCCCCGCTAGCCCCGTGGGACCAGCTGGCCCCGCTGGCCCCATCGCGCCCCAGCTAGCCACGCACGCGCCACCGGCCCCGTGCGCCCTGCTGGCCCCGCTTCCCTCGCCAGCCCTGTGTGCTCCGCCGTCCCCCAGCGCCACCGGCCCCTGCTCTGCCGGCCACAGCTCGCCCCGGCCCCGCACCGACCAGCCGCAGCAGTGCCGTCGAGCCGCCGTGGCGTTGCGCTGCCGCGTCGCTCTGCCGCCACCGACCCACCGGCCTTAGATCCCTTCTGAGTCGGCACGCCTGCCGGTTGTCTCCACTGCTCCGCACCGCACTCCACCGCACTCCATCGCTCTCCACCCCACTCCACCGCTCTCCACCACTCTCCACCGCACTCCACCATTCTCCAACGCTCTCTACCGCACTCCACCTCCCTCCACTGCTCTCCACTGCTTTCCTTCGCCTTTCCTCATCTTCCTGCAAGCTGCATTTAGCTGCTGCGGCCGTGGGGATGGCGGACTCCCAGCTTCGCCTGGACGCGGCGGGCCAGGCGATAGACTTCGAGGCGTGGCTCATCGAACCTCCGCCGTCACCTTCCAGGTCAGCACCAGGATGGTCATTCTCTGGCTTTTCATATCGATGGCCTGCTTCCCCGCCCTACTACGCCTGTTGGCCTCCCTGTTGCCCCCACTACTACTGAGCGTAAGGCCTTTTCCGCTGCGGCACTTGCTCGTGTTTTCTGGGACTCGCGCAACGCTCTCGTGCAGCTTGCCATTAGTTACGCCCTCCCCCTGTCTGAGCATCCGCGCTTCATAGCTGTAGCGAATGCCCAGGAATTCTTAGAGGCCAGAGTTGCACGCTACTCCACGCCCGCCTCCGCCTCGGCTGGCCATCTGATCCTCCCCATGATCTTCCCTGTTCTTGCGTCCTTCCCAACTGCGTTGACCTTGCCACCCACCTACGCACTCTTGAGTCTAGCTATCGCGCTGCTAGCACTGAGGCTCACCTCACTGCCGGACCACTACCGATGTGCTCTACCCTGTACCTCCTTGCCACGCGCCTCCCCGATCGCCACGACCACTTCCTCAGACAGCACCCGGGTGACCTCACCCTTCCCGCCTTTGTCACAGCCCTGTCCGCGATAGAGACCCGCCAGCGCACTATCGCTCAGTCTAGCGGTACTGCGCCGATCCCTACCTTTCTGGGCTGTGCTCCCTCCCAGTGCTCTTATTCTGACGTCTTGGCTGCTATTGCTGAGACTGCCGCTGCGGCCTCAGTGCAGTTGCGTCCGGGTAAGGGCCGCTGCCCCAAGGCAGGGCGTGGTGGAGGGAAGGAGGGTGGGGGCGGGGAGGGTGGAGGAGGTGGGGGCGGGGACGGTGGTTTGGACGAGGGGACCGCGGCTGGTGCCCCGGAGCAGCAGCAGCAGCAGCAGATGCCGCCTCAGCTGCAGCAGACTCAGCCGCAGCAGCAGCAGTGGCCGTGGGAACCCCTGCCCACACCATGCTGTTTCCCTTGGAGCGGAAGGCCGACGTACCTAACGTTCTTATCATGTGGGTCGTAGCTGCGCGAGTCCACTGCGGTCTCCCTGTGTTGCGTCTCCACTCCGACTACGGCAGATGCCTCCGGTCGGCTTGGCTAGTTCTGTCGAGTGGAGGGCATCACCCAGTCGTACACCCTGCTAGACTCCCCACAGCAGAATGAGGTCGCTGTGCGATGCATCGGTTTGGTCATGGAGGTGGCTTGTACCTCCATGATCCATGCCGGTGCACCCCATTTTCTATAGCCGTTCGGTGTTCGCTACGCCGCTCACCATCTTAACTTGTGGCCGCACTCCCAGCGGCCGCAGGTTTCACCGACCCTTCTCTGGACCGGGTTCCCTGGTGATGCGTCTGCGATCCACGTTTGGGGCTGCCTTACGCACGTTTGTGCCTTTGGCACAGACAAGCTCATTGCCCGCATTGTTCCCTGTGTCTTCCTTGGTTTCCTGCTTGACACGTCTGACTGGGACTTCTACGATCCGCTTTCTCACCGCTTCTTGCACTCGCATGACGTCACTTTTGACGAGTCTGTCTCCTTCTACCACCGCTTTCCCCACTGAGGTCTCCCGCTTTCCCCGCTCCTGTTTCTGGTTCCCACTCCCCAGATAGACCCAGCCCCCCCCCCTCCCCGTCCTGCCTCGTTTGGTGTGTCGCACGTCACTCCCCTCCCGTCGCTTGTCCCGATTGAAGAGTTCACTGAATTTGGGGGCCCCGTGGAGTCGGTTTCGAGTCAAACAACTCCCAGGCGAAGCTCCATGGTTCAAGGCACGATACGTGGCAAAGGGTTTCACCCAGAAGGAGTATCTCGACTTCTTCGAAACATTCTCGCCCACGGCCAAGCTCCCGACTGTGCGCGCTCTTCTTGATATAGCCGCTCGCGGCAACTTCGAGATCAAGTCCATGGACGCCTCCTCCGCCTTTCTCCAAGGCCAGCTCAAGGAGGATGTTCACATGGAACGCCCACCGGGGTTTCCTGGCACTTACCCTGCCAACACAGTGTGGAAGCTGAAGCGCCCAGTATATGGCCTCAAGCAGGCTCCTCGTGAGTGGCACAACAAGGTGAAGGAAGTCCTCCTCGCACTTGACTTCCATCCCTCTGCCTCGGATTCCAGTCTCTTTGTTCGTCACTCCTCCGAGCCCTTCTACATCCTCGTCTACGTCGACGAATTCATTCTAGCCGCCAGAGATCCAGCCGACATGGCAACTGTCCAGTCTGCTCTCAGCTCCGCCCTTCTCATGAAGGATCTTGGTGACCTCAAGAACTACCTGGGGATGGAGATCACTCGTGACCGCTAGGCTTGCACGATCACCCTCTCCCACGAGTCCTACATCGACAACCTTCTCAAGCGGTTCGACATGGACTCCAGTAACTCTGTCTCCACTCCACTCCCACTACAGCATCACCTCACGGCCCCTCCAGTTCCTTCTCCTGACGCCTGCAAGGACCCGTACCCTGAGCTAGTCGGTTCACTCATGTATGCCATGATGTGCACTCGACCAGACTTGGCTTACCCGGTTAGTGTCCTCTCTCGGTACGTCTCCCCCGGACGCTACACTGCCTCGCATTGGTCTGCAGCCAAGAGGGTCCTCCGCTATCTACAAGCCACCAAGTCTCACATCCTCACTCTTGGTGGTACCTCTCCAGTCAAGCTCGAGGGATATACAGACTCCTCATGGGCCGATGACCAGACTGACAGACGCTCCTCCCAAGGGTACTACTTCACCCTTGGTAGCGGAGTCATCAGCTGGCGCTCCACTCGGTCCTCTGCAGTCTCCCTGTCGTCCTGCGAGGCCGAGCTCTATGCGGGCACAATGGCTGCTCAAGAGGCACGCTGGCTCTCCTTTCTCCTCGCCGAGTTAGGCTACCCCCAGCAAACGCCCACCCTATGGTGTGACAACCAGAGTGCCATTCACCTCACCAAGGATCATGTGTTCCACTCTCGCACCAAGCATATAGAACTTCGTCACTTCTTCATCCGAGAACTTGGTTAGAGTGACCAGCTCATGGTACAGTACATCGCCTCAAATTGCAACCTCACCGACCTCTTTACCAAGGCTCTCAGCAAGGCTAACCACCATCATCTTCTTCATTCCATGGGGCTATGTGCTCCTTGAACGGGTTTGCAGTCTATGGGGGTGTGTTAGAAATAGATTGCAAATCCCACTTTTGTATTTGTACTCATATATCCTACTTTAGGTTAGGAATGTTCTAGTGGGTTGGGGTGTATTCACAAAATCCGAACCTCACCCAATTGTGATCCCCCGAATCTCCAATTATCGAATTGGAGATTTCGAAGATCCTAGTGGGGATTCCCACCGATTCCCTCTTCCTCCATTCTCCCTCACCTTGCCATGTACTTATAGAGCCTTGGGCTCCTTACATGATCAATCTTTTCAGCTCTATTTTTTACATCCTCTGTCTGACTACCTTTGTGCCGCTAGTTCTCTTGTTCCTCGGATCCTTGCCTCCCTCGTTACCGACTCGTCTGTTCCGTTCTCGAGTCTTGACGCTCATGTCGCTGCTGGCGCTGACTTCGCCTCTACCCACCGCCTTGACTAAGCCATAGCCCTGGTCTCTAGCCCTGCATGCCCTCCGTCTGTCGGGGGTGCTCCTACCCTTGGGAGTGACGTCCTAGAGGATAGGCAGTACGAGCTTGCTTTCCTGTCCAAGGCCGCTCCCCATCTCTGTTCCATGCTGCTGGTCGTTGAGGGTGACCCACAAGCCCTTGACATCCCGACCCTGGCACTTATGCTCAGGCATTTTCCGGACCCTGAGCTTCTCATTGGATAGCTACGATGGACGCGGAGATGGCATCTTGGAGATCCGCCGGCACCTTTGTCGACGCAGTTCCCCCACCTGGGGTGAACGTAGTCGATGGCTTATGGCTCTTCAAGGTGATGTGCCCCTCTGGAGAGCCGCCTGTGTTCAAGGCGCGCTACCTGGCTAGAGACTTCAGTCTGCGCGAGGGTGTCATTTTCTTTCAGACCTTCGCCCCGACCCCGAAGATGACTACTCTTCGGGCGCTGCTACACATAGCAGCACAGCGTGACTACGAGCTACACTCCCTCGACTTCTCCACACTGTTCCTTCAGGGAAGCCTTCACGAGCAGGTCTACTTGGGCCATCCACAGGGCTTCACCGGTACCTTCCCTCTTGGGACCCAATGGCTCTTTCGGCGCCTGGTCTTCGGCTTGCAACAGGCGCCCCACGAGTGCCACGCCACACTGCGTGCTACACTAACTGACCTGAAGTTCTTCCCATCGTCTGCTGACACCTCGCTCTTCGTTCGTGCTGGCCAGACCCTGTTCTACATCCTTGTCTACGTAGACGACCTGGTCTAGTTCCTGTAGCTCCTCACGTGTTAGGGCCTTGGTTGTGTACTCCTCTTTATGTATACCTTCTTGACTGGCCTTGTGGCTTCTGTTTCAGTGGCCGGACTAGTAGTGCAGCCCTTGCTTGCTCTTGTTGATTTTGTACTCTTGCTGACCGGTCTTCGGACTCCTACCTCAGAGGCTGGACTAGTACTGCCACCGTGTGTTGCGCGTTTCTTGCTCAGCACTGCCACTTATCTAGCCTAGGGGGTGTGTCAACTTATACATATGTTTATATGTAGAAGTTATAGGCTAGAGAGGTTTGTGTTCATAGAGGGTACAAGTCCAACCCTATATCCTCTCCTGTACTCCCTTGTTCTAATCATTTTGCTACTCTAAGAAAAATGTCCCGCAAAAGTGACGAAAGCGTGGGTTTTCAGATGCGGAAACACGGTAGCTTTCAAGTGAAGGTTAAAAGCCCCACTCAGGATGTGACGTTGGAAGTGACGGTGAAGTCACTGATAGGTTTCGCCACGTGTGATTTTATGTTACGAAGATGGTGACAAGAAGGTCATATTTTTGTCCCTGCTTTGTGACCACAGCTACGTGGCACCAGAATCTCGGCATTCTCCCACTAGATGGGAGTTTCTTAGACACCGATACGCGGGCTAATCAATTTATTTTCTTTTCGTGCTGGATCCTCACCAACCTAGATGTCAATTGCTGCCCATTGGTGTAGAGCTATCGCAGCGCCAATTGTGGATTCAGATTTAGCCGTCGGATTTTGCAGATCGACATCCAGGATACACTCTGGCATCATCTAAAGTGGGCTGATACATTCAATGCACTTTATTATTATTCTTATAACACACCCAATACACTCCAGAGACCTATGAATTTTTCTACCAAGCTGAAGGAAATTCTCCACAAAGCTCTAGATTGTTTTACGTAATGAAATGTTGGCTTGGTTTATCGTTCAGCTAGGTTTATTCTCCACAAGCTGCAGCTTGAGCTTCAAGAGTTGTACGAGTTACGTGAAACAATATTACGTGCAGCTTGAGCTTCAGGAAATGTAAGGTGAAAGGTGCATGTCTTGATAAAAATATGAAGTCTGTGCACAGACAAAAACAGCTTAATCAGCGACATCAATCAAAAGCTACTAAGCCTTTCGTGCTGCACATATATGCAGAGTCTGTCAACAAATATATTTATATAGCTTAGCTAGGTCATATTTGATTATACTGTAGCCTACTGTAGCTAGTTTAGTTCTTAGTAGGTACAGCCCTAGTTTTGTATCCCTCGACATTTTCCCTTAGTCACAACTTTTCCCTCTACTCTAACATGATATTGAGCTAGGTAAGATCCTTTTTTTTTTTTCTTCTTTTTTTTTTCCTCCCGTCGTTTCTCACGCTTGTCGTTACTCACGCTACCACCGTAACTGTAGCTTCTTATTTTTCGTGCGTGTGCACCTCTCTCAATTTTGCACACTGTAGCCTTCCAATTTCGCACTCTGTAGCCTAGACGCACTCCCTCCTAGCGTTCACGCTGTTTCGTACGGCAGCCAGCAGGCCGATGAGCACGCCAGCAGCACGCTAGCCGACGCGCCAGCCAACGCACCAGCCGGCACGCTAGCCAGCACGCCAGTCAACGTGCCAGCCAACACGCCAACCAGCTAGCCATCCCAAAATTCGGCCAAGGCAAAACGGCCTTGGGGGCGAGGGTTACCCACAGGTGTCCTATGTCAAAACATATATATCTATAGATGTATACGTATATATATGTCGTATAGGCTAGATAGGTGCGTACTCTTAGAGAGTAGAATTGCTTAGCACAAAAGCACCTTGTATCTCTCATTCTATCATCTTTTTCTCACATTAACATGGAATCACAGCTAGGTTAGGTCTCCTCGCCCACCCGCGCTTCCGCATTAGGCCTAGTTCTAGCTGCCCCTTCGCGCCCCGCTGGCCCCG